ACATATGAAGATTATTTGATATAAAAAGTTTTTGTTTTTTTAGACAAAAATATTATTTCAGTAATTATATCAATTATATTTATATGAAATAAAAATTAAAAATATTAAATTATATTTTAATTTTATTATAAAATAATTCATGTAGTAAAAAGTTATAAATTCACCACCTCACCGTATACCATAAAAAAGCTCTAATAACAAGTATAACATAAAGTAAGCGAAAATTTTAACATGAAGCAATATAAAAAGTGGTACATCAATGAAGCACCATTTTTAACTATTAAATTTAATAATAAAATAATTAATGGTTCAGATTTGTTACTTGTAACTTGTAAATATAATTTTTTGAATTTTGCAAATTAGTCCTTTCTAGTATGGTAATTATTTTTTATTTTAAAGATTAGTCCCTTTCTTAAAAAATATAATTTGATTAGTAAGGGTTATTATTGTCATATGAAGAAATTGATTTTTTTGTACTTGGTGTGGGACGGGGTGGCGGCAGCAGCGGAGGGGGAGGGTGGAGGTCGGTGGTGGTGGAGGGCTGGAAGCATAAAGGGTAAGGGAATGACGTGAGGTTGGAGGTGGTGGAGTGCGATGGGGGTGGCGGCGTCCGAGGGTGCATAGACTAAGGTAGTGAAGTCATCCTAGCTCAATGCTTTCTTATTTGGTCCTGGAGCCTTAAAAAAAGACCTTACGGAATGGAAAAATGGAGTCCTCTAAGATAGGTTGAGAAAGCGCGTTAATATCCTATTGAGAAGTCATCTTGCCTCTAAGATAAGGATCTAAAACCAAAATATGAGGAATGATGGTCAGTAGTAAAGAGGTTCTGGTAATCTCGCACGATGTGGCCGCCAAGGAGATTGGTGTGATTAAATCTCCAATTTCCTACAGAGTCCTAAAGGGCTAAAATCCTATTACGCCTTATGGAGTAGATAACTGAAATGAATAGTCTTTGACTCCCCTTTTTAAATCCATCTGATACGGGATTTAAGAAACAAAAAGTCCTCTTACCCTAGAGTTCAATGTGTTAGGCGAAATCACATATAAGGCAAGGTTTTTATCCTTTTCTATTTTTCCCAACAAAGGGGAGGGTGGAGGGTGGAGGTCGGTGGCGGTGGAGGGGCGGAAGCATGAAGGGAAAGGAAATGACATGAGGTTAGAGGTGGTGGAGTGCGACGGGGGTGGCGGCAGCAGTGGAGGGGGAGGGTGGAGGTTGGTGGTGGTGGAGGGGCAGAAGCATGAAGGGAAATGGGATGACATTGTTTGTGATTGCATAATAGAAAAGGGAGGAACATCAACCCCAAATAAAAAAAGAATTCATATGGGTAAATTTGGTATTACAAAATTAATGATAATTTTTAATTTTTAAAAATTATTTTATCACAATAACTATATTGCAATTAATAATAAGTTGTAAAACCTGTTATTGTAAGTCATTTTAATGACCCATGAATGAGTCGCTGCTTCATGTTAGAAACCTTCTAAAGTAAGAAAAATTATTAAATGAGATAAAATAAATTGAGAAAGATGAAATTAAAGTCCCTCTCATTAAACCACCAAACACTAAACCCTAAACTACCAAACACTAATGGTTATACTTTTATTTTAAAGGTCACGATAAATGCATCATCTATAAGCCTTTATTATCTAGCATCTGTTTAGAGCAGTGAGTGAGAAAAAGTTTTTCAATGAAAGGAAATAACACGAGGGTTTTAGGGACCACATAGTGCCTATTATAGGAATATCAAAGTGCAAGTTATGACTACAATGTAGCTTATGTGACTATGGTTAAAAAAAATTGTTTTTACTTTGTTTCATGTAAATTCTAGCTTGTTACATCGTATGGCTGTATTTATAGGCAATCATTTTTCAGGTTAAAATTCAACTAAATGGTTAAGTTTATTTAACTTGATTTTGCTAGCTTCTTTGTTATTATATTACACTCCATCTCATTTTATCTGGCATTTAAGATTTTAACATAATATTTAATAATGATTAATATATTTGATTTCATTAATATACAACTTTCTGATATATATATCTTTATTTTTATATTTTTTCCTCAGATTACCAAAAGCGAAAAATACAACAAATTACAAGTGAGTTGTATTGTCAAGCCAAAGAGGCCAAAGATAAAATTCAGGCAGAGAATGGAAGAAAGAAAGAAAAAACATTGACAGAATTGTCACAACACCTATATATATTAAATATATTAAATCAACTCCTATATATTAAAAATATATATATATTTTTTTACGAAATAATTATTATTATTTTTAATTACTTATATAATTATTTTTATTTATAAATTAAAATTTAATATTTAAAAAATTATCAATAAATAAAAATATTATTATACTATAATATAAATTATTTATCATAATTTTAAAATATAATTTATTATAAATTTTAATTATATATAATAAATATTTAACTTGTGCATGATATATATTAAAATATTAATAAATAAAAAAATAACACACTAATTAAAAAATACATTAATAACAATTAAATATATAATAAAAAGTATTTAATATTACATTCAATCAACAATCAAATTAAAATTGCTAAAACGTAAATAAAATATAACGATGAACATTAATGATTCAGCCACTTGCCTTGCCGAACCTTCTTTTATTATTATTGTTATTATTATTATTTATTTTTCCGTTGAAGTATATTAACGATTTACACTAAAATAACAATTGGAAAGAAAAAAAAACCCACTACCCCTCTTATTTGTCTGAACTAAAATTAGGAATATTTTGATAACTTACTAGTATTAAATTTTTTTATGACAATTAAATGCTTTTTTGTCTCACTCTTTTTGTGTGTTTGTTTTATTCAATGCGTGTCAAGTGTCAACCATAACTCCATTGCAGCATTATTGTCAAACTACCTCTCTCTTGTTGGATTTTTTTTTTTAATGAAAATAAAAATATCATGTCTCTCTCATGTACATGACTCACCGTTTTTATTAATTTCTGGTGGCTTTCAGACATGATTTGTTAAAGAACAATATTCCATTTACTTTTATTACCTCTGTTAGCATAAATTCAAAACAAATAAACTTTTAAAAAACCACGGGAAAGCTATTGACAGATTCCATAAACTCATATAAATTGCTTGCGAAAAAATCAGAGAAAAAATATTTAGAGAGAAGTAACAATAACAAATGTCAAAGTTAACCTTCACCCCTTCAGATTTTGCCGAGTTCGATTCATGGTAGAAGTGGATTATGTCATTTTAATTGGCTTAGATTGGAGGACCATATTTGGATTCAACAATGGTGTTGCAAATTATGTTGAACAATGGTGTTGCAGTATAATTTCTATGAAGATAGACGCACGAGAAAAGGGAGATGAGTGGATGAGGAAAGGAAAAATACCATTTAATTGTCTTGAAAATTTATAGTGTCCGAATATGATAAAAACATAAATTCAATCATATATATTACCGAGATATAATTAGAGATGACAAATAAACTTGTATTCATGAGTAATATCTGAATCTCAACTTTGACGGAGAATACTCAGTTTGATTGAGTACAAGTATGAGTAAAATCTGATATATTAAACCGATACGAGTATAGATATATACGAGTAGAGATATATACTTACCCGCCTCATACTCATCTATGTCCCCATCCCCAATTTAATATCCAATCTAATTGTGTTAAATAATTTTAATATTTAATTATGTGTAATTATTTATTATGATATGAAATATTTGTAATTGTTTAATTATTAAGAAGTCTATTATTAAAATATAAGATAGACAAATAATTTAATTATAATTGTAATATAATAAAAAAATAAGTTAAAAATATTGTGTATTTTAAAAAGAATTAATTTTTGATGGGTACAGGCTAACAGGATGGGAATGAGACAAAAATTATATACCTAACAGATACAGATATGAGAATGGGAATTGGTTTGAATTACAGAGACGGAAATGAGTATCATGAAAATCATACCGATCCACTCCATTGCCATCACTAAATATAATATAGACAATAAAACTTAGTTAAAGAAAACAGTTTGATTATACAAAAATTTAGTAAAAAAAATAGATTAGTCAAACGATAATCACAATCATGATAATTATTTTTATGAAAAATGAACTGATAATGAGAGATGTATATATAATATAATATAAAAAAATATTATCAAGAGACTAGACTAATTTAATCATTGATATCTTATCAACCTAAAGTTAAGAGAGAAATTACATCTTTTAATGTTGAATTAAAAAAAAGAATTTTATTGGACTACTTGAATAATCTTGCGATTTCCGATAAGAACATATAGTAAGATACTAAAATATTTCATGAATTTGATTTATTTTAGAAATAATCCTTAATTTTTTTTCTTCAATTTAAAAGAGTTAATTTTTTTTAAAAAAACAAAAAAGAAGGACAAGCAGGGTACCGGAAAGATCGGAAGGAACATTCTATATTTTTCTAGCGTAGAGAACTTGGCATGGCGACGTGTTCAACGCGCGTCTTCCCTACTTTCCAAACAAATCACACAACAATACATTGCCGACGAAACCCCATTAATTCAACACTTTACTCATTATCACACGTGGCTTAATTCCCATCCCTATAACTAACCAATACACTGTGCCCCATATCATAAACAAAATAAATACATGAATTTTTATTGAAATTTAAACTATAATATTCTTAATATCTTGTCAAGGACTTTTTTTTAATATTATAAAGTTAGTTTTTACTATGGAACACATATCAACTGATTCGGGACGATATTGCAATTTCGTTAAAAAAATAAAACGTAGGAATCCAATTCGTATGGAGATTCTTTCAGGTCACATCTACTCATACAGAATCTTTCTTTTTCTCTTGAAAAAATACAGAATCTTCTTCCAAGCAAACAAGTTACAATTTTTTTTTGAGAGAGAAAACAAGTTACAAAATAATTAAAAAATATTAATTTCAGATTTTCACTCTTATAAATTATAACTGAGAGCACCCAAAAAGCAAAAGAGAAAATTAGATTTTATTTTTCTTTCAGTTTTTCTATAAATATTTTCTTTTCTTCCCTATTAAGAAAAAAGTCTCGCTCTGTTTCGGACTTGCTTGCATAGATTGTATCATTCTCCATTTTTTTTCTCGCTTCATCGACTATAACTTTCTCTCTCGATCGACTAGGGTTTGATCTGACCCGTTAGGTTGATCTCGATCTCGCAGGCGCAACCGCAACTGTAAGCTAGTTTCATTCACGCCATTATAATAAATGATCAATTCTTAATTATTGCTTTTTGAATTTATGCTATAGCTGATTGGGGATGAGTTTCGTATCTGTTTGGTTTCTGAGAATTTGAGGTTGGCGCTTTCGCTGCTCTGTAAACTATTTTTTTTTAAATGTAGCATTTCAGTTTTAGATATATGTCATATACTTTTATTTTTATTTATTTATTTTTGTTAGTATAGTATATAATAGTTATTATGAAGATCAACAACACGCAGAGTTGCCACAATATGTTGGAAAATTGTTTTTCTCACTCGTTTTTTAATTTTTCAATTTTTTTTGGATGCAGGTATTCTGTATGCCTGTCGTTCATACCCTTGTTGGGGATTGGAAGTTTGAAGTTAGCAAAAAGAGATTAACAGAAGATGCTATTGAGAAAAATCAGGGATGAGGAATGGCTTTCTTATTCAATATGCTTTTTGAGAGAAGGAGGATGAGTGTTCATGTGTTACACAGCGTGGAATGACATATGTATGAATGTCTTTGTAGAATGAGACATATGAGGTGTGATTTCTTTATGTTGTTTATATACACGGAGGTTTATGATCTTAGGCATTTATCGTAGTCAACTTGGATTGTCACAGCCAAGCAAATTATACTACCAATACAGTTGCATCTTTTTGAGTTATAAGGTTTAGGAATGGACGATGACAGAGATTTCGAGTTGTTATTTCACAGTTGGAATACCAAGAATCCGACTGATCGACTTTTTATTATCTCTTGTTTTGTTGCTGCTCTTGTTGGAATTTTGACCATAGCCTACACGGCCTTTCAATGGAGGAGAAATATCAATCTAAGTTGGATGAAAGCCATAGCCAGGTCTAAGAAAAACCCAAAAGCAAGGCATAAAATTCCTGTGGCCCCTCATACATGGGTTCTAGAAACTGTATCTCGTGCCAAGAATTTAAACTGTTGTGTTTGCTTTAAATCCATGTCGCCCTCTCAAGCTCTAGGGCCTATAGTAGCTTCTGAAAGTTTCATCCACCGTTGCTGTTTTTGTGGTGCAGTAGCTCATCTTAGCTGTTCATCTAGTGCCCACAAGGACTGCAAGTGTGTTTCTATGATTGGATATGAGCATGTCATGCACCAATGGGCTGTTCGTTGGACAGATGTAGCTGACCAACCTGATGAAAGTGCTCTCTGTAGTTACTGTGAAGAGCCATGTGGTGGGTCGTTCCTCAGTGGTTCCCCTATATGGTCTTGCTTGTGGTGCCAGCGTTTAGTACACGTTGATTGTCATGGTACAATGTCTAGTGAAACGGGTGATATTTGCGATCTGGGCCAATTTAAAAGATTGATACTATCACCATTGTATGTAAAAGAATTGAACTGGAACATGCCAGGTGGATTTTTGAGCTCAATTACTCATGGGGCAAATGAGATAGCATCTTCAGTTCGGGCAAGTATTAGGAACCAGAGCAAAAAATATAAGCATGGAAATGAACCATCTGTTGAATCTGGGAATAGTGAGAGCATTGGTGAAATGTCCACAGAAAGCACCGGTAATTCTCATCAAATAGATAATGGTCATCATGAAGTGGATGAAAAAAATAGCACGAATAAGGAGATTCGACACCAAGATAGTGAAGTAGATAAGAAGATGGATAGAAAACCCAGTCTTGGACGCAATTCATCAATCAATCAGAAGGATGAGTCCCATGCATTAGGAGTAAAGCAGAAATATGATTTGATTGATTTGCCTCCAGATGCAAGACCATTATTAGTTTTTATAAACAAGAAGAGTGGTGCCCAGCGTGGAGACTCACTTAGAATGCGTCTGAATATCCTTTTAAATCCTGTTCAGGTTTGTTACTCTGCTGCATTTTACAATATCTGGTTAACATTTGAGTATTTGACTACGCATCCAATTTCGTTTCCTGCATTGTTTGCACCCATTTTAAAGTGTTTTTGCTTTGGGGCCACTACTATTCATCATGTACTCATCTCTTTATAAAAAAAAATACCTAAACCCTACAAGATTATAGAATAATTACTATCTTCTAGTGGTATACTTAAAAGACTCCTAAAAATCGCGTAAATGGTCCTATTGCTTGTTGGAGATACTCTTTGACAACATGATTACCAAATTTTTGTTTGTTTTTGTTTAGGTGTTTGAATTGAGCTCAACGCAGGGGCCAGAGATGGGACTTTATTTGTTTAGAAAGGTGCCTCACTTCAGAATTCTTGTATGTGGGGGAGATGGTACCGTTGGTTGGGTTCTGAATGCAATAGACAAGCAAAATTTTGTTTCCCCTCCCCCTGTTGCTATTCTTCCTGCTGGTACAGGAAATGATCTCGCTAGAGTTCTCTCCTGGGGAGGTGGCTTGGGTCCAGTAGAGAGGCAAGGGGGTCTTAGTACATTTTTGCATCACATAGAACATGCTGCTGTTACTGTTCTTGATCGGTGGAAAGTAACAATTAGTAATCCACAAGGAAAGCAACAGCTGCAACCAACAAAGTTTATGAACAATTATCTTGGTATGTGAACACATGTTTTTCATGGTTACTGTGAATTAAAGCATCTGGAAAAGTCAGTTTGGTAAACTTTGATAGGGAGCTAGTTTCTTTGTGGTGGGGATTGGGTGGTTGGGTGGGTTATAGATGGAGAGAAAGATGCCTTAAGGAGTCTGGAATTCTGGATCTTGATGTCATGATCTGGTACATTGGTTTGAACATGAATCTGGTTGAAGCAAATTGAAAAGTTGATTTAGTTGTATTGATTTTGACATGTCAAGTCCGATACTACTAACATCGTTTGGATTGTTGAAATGAGGTTTGATATACATGAATCTGAGTATTCAACTCGGGTGCAAATTTGTCTGCACTCTCATGGATTTACTTAAATTATAATAAGTTGCTTTTCTAACAACAGCCTTTTATTGTAAACATTAATTGTATGCCACTTGCATTTTGTTAGATTACATCATTTGCTAATTGTCAAACTATGACTGTGTTTGGATTAACTCATTTAAGGAAAATAATCTCTGTTTTTATGCAGTTTCTTGAGAGAGCTTAAAAAAAATAATTATTTCTCATGATTTATGCTTTTTCCCTAACACACATCTCTTGCATCATTTTGACTAATTCTGAATCAAACAAATATTGGTTTTAGGAATTGGATGTGATGCAAAGGTTGCTTTGGACATTCATAATCTGCGGGAAGAGAATCCTGATAAGTTTTATAATCAGGTATTTGGTGTTTAATTGGAATTGAATTTTGAATTGTTTGGCATTTTAAAGGGGATATATGTATTAATAGCATGCTAGTTGAGTGGTATAAAATTATAATTATTGTTTTTGTTGGATGGTTTGTTGTGCAGTATATATTGCTTTCTCTTTCTGTGAATGGAATTTTGATTACTTTAGATTAGTTTTGGCATAATTTTAAAATTGACTCTTGGATTAAGACGTTCTGTTCTGTTCAACTGCTCCTGGGGAAATATTGAGAAAGATATATGCTTTTAGACATAGAATATATTGATTACATTGTTTGTGAGTTTTAATATATCTCAGTCATTATGGCTATTCACTAATATTTTAGCTTGTACATCCCTTATAATAAATGTTTATTTTTTTATACATAATAATTAAAATTTATAATAAATTAATAATTTTAATATATAATTTATATTATAATAAAAAATTATTATAAAATTATCTTTTATAAATTATGTTATATATTTATATGACTAATTTAAATTGTGATATAAGGTTATTTTTAACTATTGACAATTTCTTTTAAAAATTATTGAAATTTAACTTAGAGGTAGAGATAAAAGAGGGTAGATTGGGATTGATTGTTAAGAAGATATAGAGATAAAAAAAAAATGGAAGGTAGTTTCAGATTGAGAGAAATTTTAACTAGTTCTGGGAGTACTATGATATGCATATCCAAAGGAGAGAAGAGATACAATGTTTAGATTTAGGAATTTCTACGTTGAAGAGCTGGGAGAGTGAGAGCCTCACTTTGCGAGTTGTATATTCTAATTTATAATATGGAAGTAGATTATTTCCTTCACTAACTTTGATCCATTCGATGTTCTTCTATGAATGGCTTTTCATTTCAAGTTTGTTGTATTCACACTTAGAATAATATCTAACAGATTTACATGAACTGGTGATCGCTTGAATTTTCCCATTTAGATCCTTGCAGTAGAGGTTTCAATGTCACTTAATATTACTCGCTGCATTATTTCAGTTATTGTAATATGCTTACAATTATCTGATGTAGTGGAACTTCTAAGATTAAATGCTCAAATTACTCTAATATGTGCAGTTTATGAATAAAGTTCTATATGCAAGAGAAGGTGCTAAAAGTATTATGGACAGGACATTCGCCGATTTACCTTGGCAGATTCGAGTGGAGGTGGATGGAGTTGAAATTGAGGTCCCTGAGGTGAGTCTGTTAAATATAAATAACCTTTGTTTTGGTTCACATTACTATTTCTGCTACAATTGCTTAAATTATAAATTGTTATTGTTTTTTCATTTGAGTGACTGACTCTAATTATATTATAATGTTAAGATGTAATTTTTTAGAGTAAATTATCTCCACTTTTACCTCTATTTCTAGCATGAGTTGAAGCTTGTTTGGGTAAGCTTCTTAAGAAGCACTTCTCGGAGACAAACACAAGAAAAAAAAAAATCAAAATAAGCTTTTCCATAAGCTAAAGCAAACTTATGCATGAGTTAAAAATAAGAGTTTTTAAAAGTTAATAGAAAAGAGCTTTTACAAAATAGTTTATACATAAATTAATTTTAGTTTACAGAAAAACTTATTTTATTTTTCGTTCTTATTTTGCTCTCCTATAAGTGTTTCTAGAAAAATTTATCCAAATAGACTTTCAATAGTGTGTGTAATTTTGACATTATGTTTCTAATATCTCATGTCAGCATGGTGTTAACTCTTTTTACAAGTAGTTAATGGAAGTGACTATTTGTCATGTGAAAATTCAAATTGGGGCTTGTATTTATAGGTTTTGAACATTGAGGGGACATTTAAGTTTGGGGACTGAAGGTGCAAGTAATTTACTCAATTTTTTGTACTAAAACATCCTTTTTAGATTCTTTTACGCTGCAACCTACCCATGGCAAAAATAAGAGCAAGGCCCCTATGCTGAATTATTCAATTTGGTTTACAATTAATTCAGGATGCAGAAGGTGTACTTGTTGCAAACATTGGAAGCTACATGGGAGGTGTAGATTTGTGGCAAAACGAGGATGAAAATTACGATAATTTTGATCAACAATCCATGCATGATAAGATACTTGAAGTTGTGAGCATATCTGGAACATGGCACCTCGGGAAGCTTCAGGTAAAATGAATCCTGGATTCCCATTCTAGGGTTATGCTACTTTAATGTGTACATGATTGCTAAGGGGTCTACTACTTGAGATTTGAAACTGATTTGGAAGAATGTGCTGGTGAACCTTTTCTTTATTGAATTAAATTAAATTGAGAAAAAATGAAACTAAGAACTAAAGCATGATTTTTTTAAATCATGTTTTTTGCATGGAGGTGGAACTGCATCTCAGTTGTATTTAGTCTGTGGCCTCTGTTACTTTTACTTTATTTCAGTTTCCTATTTATTTAAGTTCTCCTTGATTTTAAAAGTACATAATTTATTTGAACTAGGATTAAGACATTATTTATTTGTTTATATTAAGCTCTACGGAGTTATTTAAACTATGAAATCATGTAAGCTTAAATCCTCTGACAATGGTGTTGTCAAAACAGGTTGGGCTTTCTCGAGCTCGAAGACTTGCGCAAGGACAGTCAATTAAGATACAATTGTTTGCAATGTTTCCTGTACAAATCGATGGAGAGCCTTGGTTTCAGAAACCTTGCACAATTTCCATAACCCATCATAACCAGGTTATCATTCTAAAACTCCTCCACTGTGCATTTATAGGCAGCATCCCTTTTGTGTTAACTATCACTTGCCTTGCTGTTTGATATCTTTACACTGTTTGTAAAACTGAATTTCAAATTTTCAACATGTTTTGTCAACCTGTGCAAACTGACAGGAATCTGCTTACCTAGTTTTGATTATTTTTGAAAAGAATGAGACCTCTGCCACTGAAATTCACAACTTTTCTATGTATTGGTAAAAGAGTGATGCTTCTGAGAGAAAAATGACACAAAATAGTTTTGTCTCATTTTAATTAGATGTTTGTTATTTTCTGCTGCCCTTACATTATTGATTTCTATCTGTTCTACCAATAAAACGCATCAATATCTGTTGGCTTAATTCTCTTTTATTGTGGTTGTTCAGGCTTTCATGTTGAAGAGGGTGACTGAGGAACCTCTTGGTCCTGCATCAGCAATCATTGCTGAAGTGCTGGAGAATGCTGAAACAAATAATGTAATTAATGCTTCACAAAAGCGAGCTCTTCTTCATGAAATGGCACTCAGGCTGTCCTAGAAATACTCTTCCCACCTTGTGAATGTGATTAGTGATTTTATATTTCTTTTGAAATATATTTTGCACACTTGTGTATTACTTTTCCTTTTTGAATCTTTTGTCTAAACTACCTGCCACTTCTGAAGCAGCCTTGTGTATTATGAATCTTATACATAAAAAGAAAGAATGAAATGAGAAAGCTTGTCCGTTGATTTCCTCAAATTTCGTTGGTGTTTAAATGCATACAGCAATATGCAGTAATATGTACCAAGTACCATGCCCCATGCAGCAAATTGCTTACGTTTGGCATGTCCATTATTTTATGGACTATATATACATTGTAAGGAGAGGTTGATTATTTTTCGGATCCTACGAAAGTTTAAAAGCTCTCATGGAATGTTTTAAGCATTGTTGTGCCGTATTTAATTGGTTCTTCAGACACCGTATATCGAAAACTTATTTGACCTGAGTTTTTAGTATTACCTTTGCATAATCATAATCAGTGATTCGACTCTGAGGATGGAAGACTTCATCAAAATGCTTTAGAGGTACGGTTTCTCCCATCTTCACTTTCATGCTTCTTCCCTAGTAAACCTTTAACCTTCAACCACAGGCGTGTTACAAAACCTTTTTCTCTTGTTCCTCTTTCGCAAGCTCGTTTGTCTGGTAATTTTGGACTGGAAATTCTTCTTGGTGCCCTTGTGCTTTGTCTGTAGATACGCTTCAGGTGGCGTCTATAAAAGGGGGAATTCAGATGGAAGACTAATGATGGCGATGATCCATTAGAGCCCTGAATGACCCTGTTAAGCTTGTGCCTGTGCTTCATCTCTTGGTAAGTTGGTGAAGATGCTTTTGAAGTTTGAATGGCCTCGTTGAGTTGTAAAGTCATCTGTTTGAACTCAAAAGAGTCATATAGGTCACTGCCATCGTACACGATGTTGAGTCTCCTTGTAGGAGTCACCGCATCCTCTTTCTCTAGATTTTTTTCCATGAAAGATGAAGAATGAGTTAATTAAGTTTACACGGCCACCAACCTCTCCCACAAAATTCAGACCTAACGGCACTTTCATTTTTCTCTGTATTTTTTGATTAAAAACTCAGAATGTGCACTGTTCAAGAGAGGTGGAAGTTAGTTGCCTTGCCTTGAAAGTAACGTAGTTAAAATACGTTATTAGCAAGGTTACTGCATTGCTTTCTACGTTTTTCTCACGCCCTTGATTTATATCGAAGCAACTAGGTTTATGAAAGTTCAGTGACTTATCCCATGTAACAGCAGTTCGGTTACCAAAATGTAAATAGATGTTCAACGAAAAAGATACAATTTCTTTCTCCTATTTTCATGCTTTGAAAACTGTGAATTCCTGTTTAAACGGGTATCTTAACACACCATTATTTGTCGGAGAAATGACGCTGTACAAATGAAAATGACAGTGTACTATATATTAAATAACAAAAGAAAATAAAAAATGATACATCTTCCGAAATTCATAAGCATTTCTCAAAGAAAATATCTAAAAATGTTTTGAATCTATTGATAATAACTGTAAGATCCTACTGCAGAAATCCTGGTCCCTCCATTAGTCACCGTTTGGTTGAGTTGAAGTTTTTACAAGTCAAGCACCACTAGTATCCACTTCTCTGTCCCTCACAGCCACATTTTTCGGTGCTGAATTGTTGCTAGTATCAGTAAGCCAATTTGGTTTTGATATCTTTTTTTTTCCCCAACCTAATACTGTTCAATTAACTGGCGTGGTTACCTTTTCTTTTTTGCCTTAACAAATTAATTCCACCAACCAAGTTGTTTCTGGACATGTATTCTTAATTTGACATGGGGCAGTAGTTGCATCCTCAAGTTTTAGTTCGTCCATAGAGTATTGTATTCACCGTCGATAGCAATGACTAATCTCTTCGCTACGTTGGAGGCACTTCAAAGGGTGGGATAGCTGGTCCCAAGATTTAACGCAGCTGCATACACAAGGTAAGATTCGAACCCCTGATATTGCTTAAGCGTGGATCAACCCCTACTGTTGAACCACACGCTTAGAATTGTTTCCTCAAGCGTTTAACTCAAATTGTAATAGTAAATTTCATTTTCACACTAATTGTTTTAAACAAAAGTTACGGCGTCGACAATGAACTTATAGCTCCGGAAAAAAGTAATAAGGTGGAGTCACGTGCATTACATTATTTTAATTAATCATGCATTAAATTTATGAATACTGTTTTTTACTCAAAATTTATGCATACTTAATCACTTTTTTTTACACCAATAGTTAATCACTTAGGAAAAATGAGTTGTAATAATGAATTAATTTGATAATTAATATAGAGTACTGTGTTTATTAGAAGGCACAACGGGTGACTAATTTTTTTATTATCATTATTTTATTATTTTTTTAATGAAGAAGTTAGAGTTAGCGACAGTCACGGATGCTTCTCTTTTTATTCCCCCCATGATGCATTCCCCTTTTCCTTATCTGTTCCACAATGTACAATGAATGGGAACAATCTTGGACTTGACTTGGAACAGTTGAGACTTGAGACGCATTTCACTTTGGAAAATAAAAAATGATAGGAAAAATATCTAAGAAACTCCTGATATAATTATTAGCCATTAAAAAAAATGTTTTTTTTCCACAGTAATGGGTTTTGTTATCAACTAGTGATTTTATTTTATCCACATCGACAAGTGATTTGGTTAAAGATAAGTAATTTTGGGACTTCATTTAATTTGACAAACCCATGGCCATGGGAGTAATAGATTGCATCACTTGCATAAATAATAATTGATTCAAAAGCAAAAGTTGAAACGCAAGTCAAGTTGGATAATCTTTTTTAGACTAGTTATTAGCTTTTACTACAAGTATTTAAAGAGATTGTCTTCTTGCTTTACTAACTTGCATTATTTTCTAACATCATTCCCATATTAGAATCCCTTTGCAGTGAAGTTTGAGCATTGAACACAGATATTTACAAATATAAGGTACCCAAATCCTTCTGTACCTTCTCAGCGATAAGATATTTGTGAATTTCCCTATATATGTATATGATCAATATTTCCCACGTCATTATTTTTGTTTAGGAAAGGAAAATTAGTGTGAAGTTTTGTTAAGTCTGATTTTTTTCTTACGCTAAAATAATGCCTAAACTTGAGTTTTTGAATATGGGATTCTAGGAAAGGGCCATTCATGGTTTTCCAGCAAAAGGCAGAGTGACTTCTCTGTCATTTACTATTCCTTCCTTCCTTTTTTTATTTTTTATTTTTTTCCTTCACTGCAAGTATGTAACTCTGTATGTCCCAACTATCTCTATGTTCAAAATGGGTGATTTTTTTTGGCAATTGAAGGAGTTTTACCGCAACGAAATTTGAATCTAGAACTTCTTGCAATCTATTCAAACTCTTAACACCAGTCTTATTTTAGGAAGAAATTATTTAGTCTTAAACCAATACATGTCTATTTATAATCCTGATCAATTATCATGCAAAACATAGTCAAAATTTTCAATTTGCGAAAAAATTTAATAACACTTAATTATGTATTACGTGGAGATTAGTGAGGACTATGATCATCTGAGTACCTAATAATTTCTTGTCTTTAGGGTGTTTGATTAGTGTAAGTGCATGCAAAATCTTCTTTGAACTCAAACAGTATCATCACACATGCTTCACAGGTTGTAATTTGTAAGCAAAGACCATGGTGAAAATTTGCGGAATTGGAGCCGGGTACGTAGGGGGTCCTACAATGTCTGTGATAGCCCTCAAGTGCCCCTCAATTGAGGTGGCAGTGGTTGACATCTCTCACTCTCGCATATCATCTTGGAACAGCAACAATCTCCCCATTTATGAGCCTGGCCTAGAAGAGGTGGTGAATCATTGCAGAGGAAAGAACCTCTTTTTCAGCACCGATGTGGAAAAGCATGTGAATGAGGCAGACATAGTTTTTGTCTCAGTGAACACCCCAACAAAAATCAGAGGCCTTGGAGCTGGCAAGGCCACAGACTTGGCTTATTGGGAGAGTGCAGCTAGGATGATTGCTGATGTGTCCAAGTCAAACAAAATTGTTGTTGAGAAATCCACTGTCCCAGTGAGAACTGCTGAGGCCATTGAGAAGATCCTAACTCACAATAGCAAGGGCACTATCAAGTTCCAAATCCTCTCAAATCCTGAGTTTCTCTCTGAGGGAACAGCTATTCAGGACCTTCTAAATCCTGATAGGGTTCTCATTGGAGGGAACCAAGACCCTGAAGGGTTAGAAGCAATCCAAAAACTGAAGGCTATTTATGCACATTGGGTGCCTCAAGATAGAATCATAACAACAAATCTGTGGTCAGCTGAACTCTCTAAGTTAGCTGACAATGCCTTTTTAGCACAAAGGATTTCATCTATCAATGCTATGTCAGCACTATGTGAGGCCACTGGGGCAGAAGTCTCACAAGTTTCTCATGCACTCAGCAAAAACACCAAAATTGGGCCCAAGTTTCTCAATGCTAGTGTTGGTTTTGGTGGCTCTTGCTTTCAAAAGGACATACTCAACTTGGTGTACATATGTGAGAGTAATGGCCTCATTGAAGTGGCAAATTACTGGAAAGAAGTGATCAAGGTGAATGACTACCAAAAGGGTCGGTTTGTGAAGAGGGTTGTGACATCCATGTTCAACACTGTTTCGGGTAAGAAGATTGCAATTCTGGGGTTTGCCTTCAAGAAGGACACTAGTGACACTAGGAAAACTCCTGCTATTGATGTTTGCAAAGGTCTTTTGGGTGATGACGCGTGCTTGAGCATTTATGATCCCCGAGTTACTGAGGAGCAGATTCAGAAGGATTTGTCAATGAGTTCTAGTGTTGTGAAACAGGTTAGTGTTGTTGGAGATGCTTATGAGGCAACTAAAGGTGCTCATGGAATATGCATTCTTACAGAGTGGGATGAGTTTAAGAGCATTGATTATGAAAGAGTGT